CTCATGAGGCACGCATGCCACGGGGTATTATGGATAGGACACCAGAGGGCGCTATTGTATAAAAGTCTTAACGGAAAATACCGGTACCTGCCGGTCTAGGGAATATGCATAAGTAGATTGCTCTACAGGTAAGTATTCATTCGTAGACCCCAACCACTCTTCTGTGGAGGGATTTTGATAAATGGGCTCTACATCAGGCCGGTTAAAATCACTTTACATAATTATACGCAAATCAGGATATCTTAACTTTAGTCTATCCAGAGTTATCATGATGTGTTCAATCAGTCCAGCTTAGTCCCATGACATTGATGGAATAAACAGTGCACAGACCACTAGCCCAGACACACTGCGGGGTAGACGATGGAGGCGGACAAGAAGCCATATACACCACGTTTACATTAGATCCCGCAAGGGGGATCCAAGGGGGACCCCATCCGGCAAGGAGGATAGAATCTGCACAACCACAAGTGTAAACGCGAGGTGGTTCAAGCCTTGAGCCGGATCGGATCGCCCTAGCTGAATCCCCCTTTCGGGAAGGATTGGACCCTGCAATTGCGGGATCTGATCCCCCGATGTTTGAGTGTAAACGCAATTGGTGGACCAGACCCAGCAATTTGACCCAGCCACATTCTGTCAGCTATCCTGTCAGCGTAGAAAAGTCCACAAAAAAATATTTTGTTTATGAGTCGCTGGCGAGGCCTGCGTGAATGTTTTAATGGTTCCCACGCGGTTCTGTGCACAGTACATATGCGCAGTTGGTACTCGGCCAGAGTCGACCGGTGTTTCGTCCACATGCATAAATTTGGAGACTGTAGTCACAGACCCATCGTTCGTTTGGTTACCCATTTGATGCCAAGACTATGTAGTGGGAATTTACCTATGATACCGGACCAACACTTTGTTGAACATTGGTCAGCACCTGTAACTGTGATGGATAACCTTGGCCTACAGGCCCCAGTGAGTCAGTTCCATGTTTTTTCTGAACTCTAAGTCACACTGGTATCCAAAGACGAAGCAACAGATAATTCCTGTGTTAAAACCTGAAAAAGCAAGTCAGCACTAAGGTTGCACTCCTCATCATCATTGCAGGAGATGTGCATCTAATCCTGGTCTTACCAACTGAAGTTTCCCTGCCTGATTTGCAATAAAGCAGCGAAATGGGGGCAAGAATGTCTCCGATGTGATCAATGCAACGATCGGTTTCATGTTGAATGCATGCAAATGGACAGAAACATTTACAAAATTCTTGAGGATCATCAATCTTATTCATGGATTTGCTGCAACTGTGGTCTGCCGAACTGGGACACTTCCATTTTTGAATTGCTTAGTACCTCCAACAGCTTTGAATCACTTTCTAGCCTGGACAGCAATTAAACCACAGACATTTCTAATTTAAGCAGTAGTGACCCAACCACCACCTCAACTCCCATCAGACAGACTATGCAACAGCCCATCAAGAAGCCACCTCGGCAAAAACACTTGAACATTTTGAACTTGAATTGTCAGAGTTTACGAGCTAAAATCCCAAACTTTCATGACCTTATCGATACTGAGGACCCGATGTAATCTCGGGTACAGAGTCCTGGCTAAACGCCTCTGGTGAAGTTTTTCCATCTAACTTAGCGTTTATCGCAAGGATAGATCTGACTCCTATGGTGGTGTATTTCTAGCAATTAGAAATACATTGGTTGCTCAGGAGGAAACAGAACTCCAAAGTGACTGCGAAGCGATATGGGCAAGTAGTCATGTGAAGGTGTATCCCCATGTAGTACATCGGAGCCTTTTATATAGATCACAACAAACGGACAATGCCTACATGAGACAACTGGAAAATAGTATTGAAAACAATCCCCAAACAGGTAGCCATATGGTTGCTTGGTGATTTTAACTTGCCTGATGTAGAGTGGACAACTAACACTTTAAAGCCTAGTGGCAGATATCCCGGACCAAGTAAAATCATGATAAACATCGCCATGGATAACAACCTGTTGCAAATTGTGGATCAACTAACCAGAGACAATAACATCTTGGATCTTTGTTTCACGAATTGTCCATCTTTCGTTAACAAAGTAAATGTTCAAGCTGGAATTAGTGACCATGATATTGTTGTAGGCGATGCCAGTATCAGAGCCAAATTTGTCAAAAGCCCCCGGAGGAAGGTTATCTCAACAACAAGGGAAATTATCCTGACATCGCAAATGAGATGAAATCCTTCAATGACCAGCATTTGCATGAAAGAGTTGCAGAAATGGACATTGATCATTTGTGGACATCTTTTAGAGATGCTTTACAAGCAGCAATGAACCAGAATATTCCATTTAAGTTGAGTTCATCTAGACTTAGTCAACCTTGGATCACTGGTGCAACTAAGAGAGAAATCCGCAAAAAGCAACGCCTTATAAGAAAGCTTGCAAAAGTAACAGCAGAGTACTCTGGGACCAGTTCAGGCTACTGAGACGTCGAACTGACTGAAAGATCCGGAAACAGTACAGAAGTTATGTAAATGATGTCATAGGAGCCAGTCTACAATCCAAAAATCCTTAGCCATTCTGGAATTTCATCAAGACCACGAGACAAGAAGTGTTTGGAATTTCTGCTTTGAATGTCCTCCCAGACTCAAAAAACTCGCAGGTACGCCTAATTGCAGATGACTGCATCTTGTACAAGGAAATAACTTGAAACAACGACTGTGTCGCCTTACAACAAGACATTAACTCACTGTGTGAATGGGAGAAATCTTGGCAAATGAGCTTCAATACTTCTAAATGTTCCACAATGCATATGCCGCATAAAAAAAACCCGATCACTCACCAATACACAATGGGAGGTGTCAATCTGCAGGAAGTGAGTCAACAATCATATCCTGGAGTGGAGTTGACAAAAGATTTCTCTTGGTCCAAACACATCAGCCAGGTTACTTCTGGAGCAAATAAGATTCTTGGCCTTCTGAAAAGAAACTTGTGATGCTGTGACGAAAGTTCTCTTTATTTGGAACGGGGCCCTTAACTACACAATCGCCATGAATTCGCTACCCATGACGTGTTCCCAAATGCGATCACATGTGTCGTCCTGTTTAAACTGATGTTGTGTTAGATTCGTGATTTGATTCTCTAAATATTTGCATATTCCCAGTAAATTTGAGAATTTGTTTAGAGTTAAATACTGCTAAATTCCTACCTCAATGGTATAAACAAGTACCCTGAAAAGTTACTTAAGTTCGTTTGGAAGTCTTGGTATACGTAACGTTACTGCGATGTTATTCTTGGACTAGTGTGGACAATGCGTGGATGAAGCTAGGTTACAACAAAAATTGGGGGACCAGCGTGAGTACAATATTAAGTAAATTATCAGTTCAGGTAATGAGATAGCAATGAAGAACGATAATCTTAATTCTGCAATGATCAGCACGCGAAATTGGCCACCTGCGCACACTCAATGACCTTCCTTCCGTTGTAAATGGGGGATTGGAGGGGGATCAGGATCAGGTGTAAACACGGCACAGTTTATTTGCAGTCAGGTTCGCTGTAGTTTTATTGCGACCGCAGGATGCGATGCCCCTTTGCCGGATCGAGTGTAAACGCAGTGTTACATTTCAGCTCATCTGGAACAGTGATATCAGGCAGGATACTCGCTGGGATGTTATCTCTTACAGAGAGAGCTACTCCACCTCCAAGTCTTTCAGATCTAGTCTTAGTGAAGAGATTAAAAACATTCACATCGAGACAATCGTTAGGCATGTTGACTTGTTGCCAGGTTTCGCTGACCAGTTATCAGACTAATTAAGCAGTATTTCCAGCTCATCAGATTTGTTCATGATTGATCGGGAATTTGTCAGAAAACAGCCCGACAGGAAGCTGGTTCTGGTGATTTCAGTGGCTGTGGGTGTTGTATGACATTATGATTGAGGACAGACCCACAAAAGGATAACAAAAGATCCTTTCAATTCCTCGAATGACGGTGCTTTTGTTCAAAACTGTCCTCGATCGTACGTTTACGTGCTTAGTCTATGGGAAAGTGTTAAAGTACAGGGACAACCGGAAAGCTCCTGTCAACTGTACTTTTGGAGGGATTGATATACAGATCGGTTGTCACGTGTCTGTGTGCCACATCAAGTGATGGTAGACGGTGGAGTTGAAGAAAACGGCCTTAATAAATGCCGGCTGGTGTTCCATTTCGTCCCAACACAACTCACATTGCTAACATCGCCCTCATGCTGAGTGGATCTATAAGCCGTTTAAATTGTCGGTTCTTGTAGGGCCTGGGTTTGGGTTAACGTCACCACAAATCAGTCATTGCACTTCTGTAGCAGCGTAGGTCACAAACCTGCTACACATACTTGTATTCACAAACACATCAGGGACGGTGTTCAGTTGCTTAATATCGAAGGGCATAACAGCAGGAAAACAACCCAAAGAATTGCAGATTGTTGCATGATGCTTATTTAAATCACTGTGGCAATCAAGGACTGATTGATGCTTTCAATGGGCATTGAGTGACTGACGACGACTATTGAATGTTATATGCTCATGGTCAAGGCATGTACAATCCACATACACACACAATCCATGGATGTAAAAAGGTTCATTAAAACACTCAAACAGGTAAAATGTTAAAATACACTCACGACACATCAGATGTTACGCATATATACAAACGGGAATAGAAGAACAAACTTAATGACGTTTGTAGACGACGATTTAAAACGATATTTAACACTAAAATGGAGCTCAAAAATGGCAGCAGATAAACAGCGCCCTCGATGTCTCTTGTCTCCAAGGGAGTTGCCCAGCCATCGCAAGCTACAGCATGCTTAACAAAATCAGAACTATTATTTCTATACATGTACAATTACATCTGCCCAAACTTATTTTCAGAAGATAAACATTGTTCATGTAGGTGATCATTTTGTTGAGATCTATGTACGTGCAATATGCATTTATTACTACAAATCTCATACTTGTCATTGTTAAATGGAATCATTTCCATTATTTTTTTTTTAGCTCGTTTTCAAACTGGAAGGGAAAAAGCTACTTGGTCTTGTTGTCAAAGAAATGGAAGGTGAGTGTCTATGTTCCTGTTTCTCTTGTATTTGAAATGTTGGATGAACATGTTGAAGTATACATGTAGTCGACGTTCAGTGGTGTTTCTACATATAAAGACCTAGGCTTGAGAAGTATCAGATTCGAAAAGTTCATGGTGTAATTCTTTGCGGTGGCCATGTGACCACATTGGAACCCTTTGAGGAAGTGCACGAGTTAAAGCCTGATTGCTACCTACCCTAACTCAAATTTCCCTTGTCCCTTTTCCACGAATTTCAGGTTTTTTTTACTAATTAGACCACAAGCAACAAATATAACCCAATTGAGACGGTAAAATTTTGCCTCTAAAGGGGGGCTGTGCCATTAGGGAGACAGTTATGTGTCTCCCTAAAAGCCGGTGTCTTCCTATTGTCGAAAAAAAAACCGATAAGGTGTCTCCCTAATGGTACATTTTTGATGGTACATTTTTGATTGATTGATTGATTTGATTGATACATTTAGTAATATAATAATTCACCTTGGATTGGACATTTGGGAGACATTCCCGTAGACTTACGCACACAATTTTTCAAACTTAAATGTGCCCTAACCCAATATTCTCTTGTCCTTTTTCCATGAATTTTGTGATGTTTACTAATTAGACCAAGAGTCAACAAATATAACCTAATTGCGACATTAAAATGTTGCCTCTAAAGGGGGGCTGTGACATTAGGGAGACATGAAAATGTCTCCCTAATGACCGATGTCTCCCATTGTGCGAAGAAATTACGACAACGTGTCTCCTTAATGGCACATTTTAGTGGAATAATACAAGTTTTTATATAATGCTTTACAAAGAGTAAAGCACTTAAAACAAAAAATAACAGAAAGAGAAACAGAAACAATATGATTACGATTGGACTTGGAACAAGAATGTCTTAAGGAGACATTGAATACAGGCAGAGAGACCGCCTCTCTCATGCAACTTGATTATATAAGATTCGCAGGAAACAGGATACATGATGAATGTAAGTACATTTTTTCTCTGCTTTCTGTCCCTGAGCGCATTTTCCCATTTTGATTTTTTCTAATGCTTAAGACCACATTGTTTGAGACATGATTTAATCAATTATAATAATCTTCTTTTTTTCCCTGAAGCTTGTGATATCTCCATGCTTAAAGGAGGAAGATCATCATCCCAACGAACCAAGGTAAATCTTTCATCTTCATTTGCCAATTAAATGTGAAAGGAGGCTATCAATGAAACTAACAGTTCCTGAATTTGCAAAGTTCTAACTTCAAATGGTAATTGTGGTACATGCACAGCATTGTAAAGAAGATGTTTTTACCAGATGATCAGTTATGCATTCGTAACTCTGCAGGGACGATATTGGCAGTCCAGAGTTCTTATCTGCTGCTCTAAGAAAAAAGAAGGGGAGTCATTCAATTAGATATTTATATCTGGGAATCAAGGAACATGTTTCCTATTCTTCAGGGATGCCCATGCTGATCAATAAGTTTGTGGCACCCATCAATGAAGATGTGCAGCTGTCATTGAATGTCATGTTAAATGGGATTCCTAAAATAGTCACAACCCTCACAGATCTGTGCTGCAGACAGTCAAACGCTGTCTAAGATACATCACAGTGACTGAATGGTTTATGGTTAATAAGGCGAGCCCTCAAATTAGAATCCCTCCCCAGACCGTTCGGGGTTGAGCCCGCCCAGTATGTTGAAGGGATTGGGACCTTGCATAGTACCGATCGGCCTGGATTAACTCCGCAAGGCTTCTGCACCATGCTCTGGCTCATCACAAAGGAACCAATTTGTGACGCGCTAATCCTCCAGTAGGCAACAATGACTGTGAGCTTCAAAGAAGTTGCTGTTGGTAATCCCGCATGCCATTGCCTTTGTGCACTAATAAGACGTTTACTGTACTTTAATAATTGTGAACCTGATGGCTTTTTTTTTTACCAATGAAGTCCGAAAGATGCACCCTCCATTGAAAGTAAAGAAATGACTCGTTGTTTAACTGTTGCTGTCCCGCAATTGAACTGGTCCAGTCGCAGTTGTTGTGGGTCCGAAAACTGGGTATGGCGTTGTACACGAGCCCGGCCATATTTCGGACACAAATGTTTTCGAAACCCGGCCCATTTGCGAATATTTAATACAAGTCATTTTAATCAGTGCCAGACTTCATTTCAAAAAGTCACTTTGGAATACTGTACTATTAAACATTAACTGATGAATAAAGATTGCATGAAACCTGAACATAAATTAAACACAGACAATCAGTTAACTTCACTTTTAACACAACATGGCATTTATTACAATAATCTGGCTTCTTTGTTTGAACATGTTAATCTCTCGATTTAATAGCTAACTTGCTGGTCTCCCCTTCAAGTCTTTCCTCGCTCTTTTGCAGCCATCGTTGGTGTGCCAGGCGGGATGAAAGAAAGTCTTTGTGAGCGCAGCAAATCGAGATCGCCATAATCGTCTCATGCACAAACTTTTAGAATGTCCCCAGCATCGAAAACAAAAACCAAATGGTTCTTTTCAGAACCACACAATTTCACAAAACAGATAGATCAAGCATCTGAATCTGATCGATGATTGAATAAATAAAACGATTCATGCCCTCTCCCTTCATTCCCATTCATTCCCACCCTTCAACCCTTATTTGGGAATAGGTCATTGGGGATAAATGAAGAAATACACTCAAACAAATAATTTAATCAAGAAATGCGCTCAAATACATGTATATTTTTCATAGACAAACAACTTAAGTTTTGTTTGTAATCAGGGCTGGCGAAACATACATGTACTTACCTGAACCCGGCATTAGGAATCAACTGTACACGCTCTTAAAACATCCTAATACATGCAAGAAAGCGTTGCTTCTAACTTTCATATCAAACTTAAATGTTTATGATTATATTGAGCATTATTTTAAGTTATCCCGTTTCTAAACATCCCTATGCTGCGTGTGGTGTACGACGCTAGCTGAAATGGATTTCATCACTGCTCCCTTCTCGTTGTGAATGTGAAATTGAAGGGCCCAAGCCGATTACCAGTCACCAGTCCGTTTCGCTTTATGTGAAGGCAATACATACGTACGCGTTTGAAGTCTGAATAACCAACAAAAATGAAATGTAAGCATCTAGGAAGTGTAATTCTTCAAACTATATTTCACAAGTTGGCCATCTTTTTCATGTGTTTCTTTAAAGACAAGGACAAGTGTCAGAGTATGTGTATGTGTAAGCCTATTGAAGAAATGCAGATGCAGGCAAAAAGTTGGAAAACACATTCGAGCGTTTTTTGGTTTCTGAAGCCCTGCAAAAGAAAAAAAATCGACATCTTTCTTAAAATTCTTAAGTGAATTAAAACGTAAATTAATAAATCCGGCCAACCTTTAAGTCTTACTTTCCACTCCATAGTTTATTACGCCCATAGATATAGAATAAAAAATCTAGATCGGCAGCGCGTCCACACGCGCCCATTCACAGTGCGATAAATCTCCGCCATTTTTGTTGTCTCTTGTGGACGCGCAACAAATTAACGTAAAGTAATGGAGCTAAAATGTATCTTTCCTCCAGCACGTGACCTAGCTCAACGCGCGCGAACCTAGAAATGCGCACCGAGTATTTACGCACTGCAATCATGCACGCTAACACATTGGCGTGCCTCTTTTCATTTCGGCTACGGGATAATCAGTTTATTTTCTGCAAAGTTAACCTGTTTTAAGACAACCAATTTTGCTAAGTAGGCCCTAGTCATAATCATAAGCATCCATGTTCAAGAGATACTGATTGAAATAAACAAGAGTAGACTGGGGTTTCAACATTATGGGAACGATGTTATCTTATTTATTCTCTTGTGTATAATTATTAGCATTGAAGGTCTCAAGTAACAGAAAATGAACTCGCAATGTGCGCGTAAACAGCGTTGCGTTCGTCATGTCTAGCGCGCAATTTGTATCTATCCTCCAGCACGTGACCCTCCAGGCAAGGCCGTGCGTATGCACGCGCTGCCGATCTAGTCTTTTTATTCTATATCTATGATTACGCCCAGCGGGCCGCATAATCCTCCAACAATGGCCAGACTTCAATCTATGTTGCCTATTGTTCAAACCCTCAGTCACCAGTTTGGACGGATTGGGGCGTCACGCTTCCGTAACCGGGTGGCTTCTGGCTTCGTACCGATTGGGGTGAAAGAATTTAGCATACCGGACCCGGTATCCGAACGGTCTGTTATCTGAGGGCTCGCCTAAGCTAGAACCTGACAAAGGGCAAGTGCTAGTTGATAACCAGTGTTGTTGATTATATTTTATCCTCATCGGCAAGACTCATCTTGTATTATTGTCCCTAGTAATACATTTTGCACCACCCTTTGAAAAAAATGGTTCATTCCTTTATTCATAAAAATGGAAATTAAAATTTTATTGACAGTATAAATCCATCATGAAACCACGAAAGCATGTCTTTTGTTCTTGGTTTCATTTAGCACACAAATATTTTCACTGCAGCTTCAGTTACACGAACATGTACTTTCATACATGTCATGGGGAGTCAGGTTGGTGAAGTGGTACTTTCCTCGCCTTCCACCGCTGTGACCCGGGTTCGAATCCCGCCCCGGGCCAATATGTGGATTGGGTTTTCAGTCCCTACCTGATTGCGTGGGTTTTCCTCAGAGTATTCCTCTGGGCTTTTCCTCCTACCTCTAAAACTGTAATTTCTTCTCATTGTCTTCTCTCTACAGGTTTCTTCAGGCTTCCGGGCTACAGTGCTTAAGGCACTTTTGAGGGACCCTTGGTTTCATTACCAGAAAGAAATAAAATAAATAAATAAATAAATAAAATACAAAATAAATATGCTAAAATTACATGGAACTCTACCTACATGTAGTTTAATAACTGGAGAATATAAAAACTCCTATTTAGTCTCTTTCCTCTACACAGGAAACAACTTTTAGAATTCCTTTGGCAATGACTCTTGTTACTATGGAAGCCATCATGGGCATCGGCCCGCGGCCAGTTATAGCTCTTGTATTAATCAAACTCAAATGTGACCAAAGCATATCAAAATCAGGAATAAGTTGCAAATTGACTTTCTGAGATTTGCATATGGTAGGAAAGACAATTTCATAAGCTTTCCAATGATACCTATTAAAAGCCTGTAGCTTCTTCGGTTTTAAAGTTATGATCCCTTAACGATGACCAGTCAAGGATTGTTTACTAAATCCACATTTCAAGAAAAACGTCCTTGAAATAAACAACTGTAATGTAGTGGACAAAACAGACGTCCCAACAAACAGCCATGGCAACCACAAACTTCCGTTAATCCTATTGTTATGAAATTTGGCACAGGGGTAGGACATTAGCAGAACATATCTCTAAAAAAAAATGAAAATATGAAACTTACAAATATTGTAATAATAATGGACCCAACACCAGCTTTCTTTGAAATCAACTGATGACATTGGTTTATTATTCTTTCAAAACACGTTACAGAATCATGCGGTAGAATTTAACTTGTTTGTGGAAATGATTCTACATTCAGAAAATAAAAACTGAAATATAAGAAAAATATGAAATTTATGAAATATATACATGTTGTTAACAATGCATCGAGATGAAATGATGGCAGACTTTGTGGAACTAAACCAATATGAGAAAAATATGCTTTAACAAATATGAAATGAAACTCATTGGCATATACTTGTTTAGTAGCTTTGTGAAAATCTATAGTTAAGATAGTAATAAAAGAAATTATTCATATGAAATGGAAAAAAAAATATATAAAATACATAACATGCACCTAACTTTTGTCTTTTGCCCGGTAGAAGAAAACACAAGTCTGAATAATTAAAATAACTTGTGAAATAAAATAACGCATAACTTACGCAAGAAAATCTGAAATAAACCTCGCATTAACCCGTGGAATACACTAACCATAAGCACAGAATTTTCGGCTACAGTAAGCAGGGATTTTCGCTAACGGTAAGCAGAGCCATGAATTTGGGTTTATGAGATTTAGTCGACTTTCATACGTATCAGCATGGGGAACAAGCCCTGATCTGAAGGGTACACAACCCCTGATCTGAAGGGTACACAACCCCTGATCTGAAGGGTACACAACAGCAACTTCCTATCAGGCCAGAGCACTGGGAATTTTGCGGTTTCAAGCAAAGATTCCCACTGCAAATTCATGGT